CTATTGCTATTCTGGAAGCAAACTAATCATTAGAATAGTTTGCTTCCAGAATAGCAATAGCAATAGCAGTTAGACTTATATACCGCTTCATAGGGCTTCCAGCCCTCTCTAAGCGGTTTACAGAGTCAGCATATTGCCCCCAACAACAATCCGGGTCCTCATTTTACCCACCTCGGAAGGATGGAAGGCTGAGTCAACCCTGAGCCTGGTGAGATTTGAACCGCCGAACTGCAGAACTGCAGTCAGCTGAAGTAGCCTGCAGTGCTGCATTTAACCACTGCGCCACCTTGGCTCCTTGGCTTGACATATACTGCTGCATGACATGAATTAAACGGAACTTAAAAGCAAGGGTGAAATTGCTACAGGTTCGGACGGGTTCACGCAAACCGGTGGTAAAAAAAAAATGTTTTTCCAATAATCAGCTGTGACCCGCGATTTATATTAGCTAAAAAGCATGGTTTCCTACTTTCTAGCTAATCTAAATCACGTGGCACAGAGGATTTCCCCCCCCCGCCTCGTTCGCTTACCTTGGTAGGCCCGCTCTGCGCATGCGCAGAGACGGTGCAGGCGAGCGAAGCGTGCGCTCGCGTTGCTACCAAACCGGCAGCAGAAGTAAGTGGATTTCACCCCTGCTTTTAAAAGCAGTCCGTTTTTATCTGTCATTTAAAATTTGTACTGCAAATCAGCACCCACTTGCTGTTGATTGGCAGCCATTATGGGTACCGAGACGGGCATTACGATAGGCGCGACCGCTCCATCTTCTGAAAACCTTTTCGCTTCGGGAGGAACCGCTCGGTCCGCTGCCACCTGGAAGGGCCACTTCTCTGCCTCATAGGCCTTTAAAAAGGAAATATAAAAAGAAATATCTATTCTGGCGACAAGACAAGTTGCGAGTGGTAACACACATGCCGATTTGTTCTTTCAAACTGCAAGCAAGTTCTCGTCTTAACGACCATAATGGAGCCTGCCCCATTAACGGTCATAAGTCATGATGGTCCCAAATGCCGGTCATCACACGACTGACCCAATTTTATGACCTTTATTGCAGTGGTCATTAAGTGACCCCACAAGCAGTTAAGCAAAACCATTGTTTGTCATGGGGAATTTTTGCCCCCCAAATTGGAAGTAGATGCCGGTTTCCAGCCAAAAAGTTGTAAATTGTGAACCCGTGACTGTGGGAGGCCGCAAATGGTCGTAAAATGCCTGAAACACGATCCCGTAACAGCGGGGAGGGGCTTTGGGTTGGAAGTACCTTTCGGGGGAACTTCCGTCATAACTTTGAACGGCTGCTAAATGACAGCTTGTAAATTGAGAACTACCTGTCTTTTGTCCCAGATTCCGTATTCTAAACTTAATCTGGAAATAAATATTTAAGATTTAAAAAGCAAGTGGAGAGAAATATTTTGTTTTTTACAACCTGGTAATGTCTTCATTCAGGGTAGAATCGAGGTGACTGAATGGAGCTGAGAATTTACTGGCCAGTTGCCCTTCCTGATGCCTAACATGGAGTTCACAGCAGATATTTTCTCTTTGTGCCCTGAGAGAGGAACACTCTGCCGCTACCTAGGGTTGAATTCTCAACCTTCTGTGTGGAAGGCGAGAGGGTTGACCACTAGGCCATCACGCCACCCTGGAAAGAAATATCTAATGAAATAACAAATCGAATCGTTCACAGTGGTATAAGGGTTCCCTGTCTAGGCAGGGGGTTGGACTAGAAGACCTCCAAGGTCCCTTCCAAGTCTGTTATTCTATTCTAAACATTCCCCCTTTCAAAGCTGTTAGAACTGCAATCCTAGATAGATTTAACTGGCAGTTAAATGTCATTTTATTCAATCTAGTCAGACCTTCCCGGAAGCCTATCCGAAGTAATAATAACCATGCTGGGATAAGTTCAAATAAATAGTCAAAAAGACTGAATTGTGGATTAATAATTCTTAGCATTTTGTGTAGCGGTTTCTCAACATTCAAAGCATTTCACACGCATGAGTGCAATTATCTTCTTTAAAATAGCTTCATATCCCCATCGGCAAGTTCACCCTCCCTTTTTAATGCAGTGGGTTGTTGTTGTTTTTTCTACGTGGATTATTAGCTGCCTGGAGCTTTTGCCGGTAAAAAACCAAACCAAAACAGCTAAATAGTAAATAAGTTCTTACAGTACAACTGTCTGGGAAGACGATGAAAGCAGCCTATCTCCCTTAGCATGTGAAAAGATGACATTTTATCTCCCTCAATACATCCTGGCAATATATGAGTTTTAAAAAACCAGCTGTGCTCAGAAATAAGAAGCGAAGTACGCAGACTTCTTCTGGGAATCTTAGCAAGGATCTCGTAAGGAGTGCATTGAGCAGACTAGCAATATAAAGGAATATTTGTAGCCCAGGGTTGAACTCTGTGGGATCCTTAGTCCTCTCTGAGCTTGGTGGTTTTCTTCCAGATGTTTCATGACCCAACTAGGGAACATCATCAGTGCTAGAGGGAAGTGGAGTTTGCAGGAAGGAGGAGGAAGACGAAGAAGATGGCGAAGGAGGAGGAGGAGGAGGAGGAGGAGGAGGAGGAGGA